CACTTGAGGTACAAACCCTGGCGGCCTGAGCTCAATCCTCCAAACCTACTAAAGGTGAATGTGTAGAACCAACTCCTCAAAGCTTTCCTCTCACTTCTGCGTGCATGCTCTGACATGTATACCTTAAGCATATAATTAAACATATGCATACATTACAATGAAAAGTAATGTTTTTAAAGAAAATATTTCAGGCCGGGCAGTGGTCGTACATGCCTTTAATCCCAGTGCTTGGGAGGCAGAGGCAAGTGGATCTCTGTGAGTTTGTGGTCAGCCTTATCTACAGAGTGAGTTCCAGAGCAGCCAGGGCTACACAGAGAAACCCTGCCTCAAAAAAAATATTTCAGAAAAAAAGAGTTTGGAAATACCACTTCTTACTGGGGTGGGTTGGGATAACTGTAAGAGGATCTGAAATGTAGACAAGTCAGGCCAGGAACCTTCCATGGAGAATGGGCTTAAAATCATCCAGGTAGAGTGATGTGAGTAGTGCTCCCTGGGTATAGTATGCTGTGATATCACTGAAGAGAACATATGCTAAGGAAGCCATAGAAATGAATTCTGGACATTCTTGTACATAACTTGAAAAAGTCATTATTCCCCCAATTTTAAATGTGTTATCACCTTAAGATTTTTTTGTGTTAACTATGCACCACTCATTACTTTTTTCTGAGAGTAGGGGTGTGTGTGTGTGTGTGTGTGTGTGTGTGTGTGTGTGTGTGTGTGTGTGTGTGTGTGTGTATACGCCTGTGTTTTGTATATGAGCATGGGTGTGGGTGGCTGATGTGTACACCAGACTAGCTAGCTGGCCCCAAACTTTCTGTTTCCACTTTCCGTTCTTCACAGGAGTGAGAGGTTATAGGTCTGGGTTAGAGCATTTGGCTTACATGGGTTCTGGACATCCAAACTCAACTCCTCATGCTAACATGTGTGCAGCTTTACACACTGAGCCATTCTGTGAAGTCCTTAGTATTTTCTAACAGTGGCAGACAGCATTTAGGTTGCCTTATCCTAAACTCCACTGTCTATAAGTTTGATAAATACATCTAAGTTTTCCTCTAATAAACATGACAATTATCTTGTAACTTAATAAATATTTAGCTGAATACCTTGAAATATCAACTTGCTTATTCCTCAGGGATCATGGAGTGCAGAATGAACTGAAAGTTTTCTGTTCCTTCGATTCTTAGGTAGACTCTTCAAGGTCAAGGTGCGGAGTGGGGACTTACGGTGATCATGAAGGTGGAGTCTGATCAATGGAATTGTCACCTTTACAATAGAGACCTCAGAGGGTTCCCTTATTCCTTCCATCAAACAAGAACACAGCAAGGCAATGGTGGTTCATGAAATCAGTGAATGAAGTCTCACAAAAATCACGAACTTCTGCTACATTGGTCTCAGACTTCCCAGCAGCTAGAACTATGAGAGACAAATTTCTATTGATTATAAACACTTTAGTATTTTGTTGTGGCAGCCTAAATAAAGTAAAGCAGCACATTTGTGGAACTGATGCTTAAAATAACAGAAACACTGGGTGTTTTTGAAGTCTGGGTGGCATAGGAGCTGTGTTTTGGAGGGAAATTTTCTGGTGATACGTGTAGAAGGAACAATAGTCTCCAGAGGGGGAAATAGGAGACTGACAGCTAACGTAGCATGATGAATTAGGAGGAAATGTTTAAGAGAAATCTTGCATATTAGATACAGGAATAGAGGGACAACAGGATGACACATGACTACTTAAGTCAGTAGCTGAAATGAGGACATTACTAACATACATATATAATACATTTAAATTATGCAGCTTGTTTAAAGACACAAAGAAATGACATCCTGAAGGTGGACTTTTGGGTCATGGAATAGAAGAGGACTTCACTAAAGTCAGCAGATTTTATAAAGGTGAAGACAGTACTTGATACTGAAGTCCTAGATCCTCCGATTTCTGCACATAACTTCTTCAGAATTAGCCATGTACCAGAGATGCCCAGACATTCAACCCAAGGGTACTTGTCATCAATGACTGTGCCAAAATCTAAGACTTATGTGGTGTCCAGCTAAACTTTCAATGTTTCGGACTATGGTGTAGATATTTTAAGAGAGAAACATCAGCCATTGTTCTGGCTAATATCTGCCAATGATGCGAAACTTGTGCCTGTTCATGCCTCAGCTTGTATGCATCTTTCATGAATGAGTGAGCCCAACATTTTTTTTTTTTTTGGTTTTTCGAGACAGGGTTTCTCTGTGTAGCTTTGCGCCTTTCCTGGATCTTGCTCTCTAGACCAGGCTGGCCTCGAACTCACGGAGATCCGCCTGCCTCTGCCTCCCGAGTGCTGGGATTAAAGGCGTGCGCCACCACCGCCCGGCTGAGCCCAACATTTTTATATACCTGTGAGCCCAAGGTAATTGCTGTTTTCTTTTGTAATTTTGTAAACTCAGTCAAAACAGGAGCTTCTAATATGTAAAAGGGGTTTAAATGGAATTACCTTCTAATGGAGAACAATGTCTTTCCCAGATGCCATAGGTTATCCAATGATAGCCCAGCGACAAGTTTGGATTTCCTCTTTGTGAATTGTTAATCAGTGGGGATGGCTCTTGGTTGCCTTCCAAAACATGATGGCAATACCCATATTGCTGATGACACCACATACTTAAGTCAAAGGACATGGAGAATTAGGCTGGGACTAACCTAGTATCTTTGTCTCTAATGGCTAACTTATATGGCGCCAGAATATACTACAGGGAGACAAAAGTGTTTAACAATCTTATTCAGCTGTGAGGCCTGTGAACTATAGTAGGACCTGGCCTGGCAAGATACACCACCAGTAAAATAATGGCATAAATGTTATGGGAGAAACCAAATACTTCCTGGTTGGATTTAAAGCCTAGTTCATAAGACAAAACTCATGCCTGGTACTGTTAACTGGGCCCAAATCCCATGGCTGATGTATTAGTAACTTTTCTATTGCTGGGATAAAACACCTTGACCAAGGCAATTTACAAAAATAAGTACAGGTTTATGTAGCTTGTGGTGCCAGAGAGATAAGAGTCCGTTACGCAGAGAAGCATGGCAGCAAGCAATAGTGGCTGGAAGGGTTTGCTGAGAGCACAATCTTGAACTTCAAGCATAAACCAGAAATGGTGTGAGTCTTTTACCCTCAAACCCTACTACTAGTTGCTGTGGGATGTTCTGGATGGCAAATATGTTAATAAATAAAACACTGATTGGCCAGTATCCAGACAGGAAGTATAGGCAGGACTAACAGAGAGGAGAATTAAGGGAACAGGAAGGGAAGGAAGAGATTGCCTGCAGCCGCCGCCAGGACAAGAAAGATGTAAGGTACCAGTAAGCCATGAGCCACGTGGCAAAGTATAGATTAATAAAAATGGGCTAAATATAAGAGTAAGAGCTAGACAATGATAGGCCTGAGCTAATGGCCAAGCAGTTTAAATAATATAAGCGTCTGTATGTTTATTTTATAAGTGGGCTCCAGGACTGGCGGGGCTTTGCAGGAACTGCAGAGAAACTCTCCAGCTACAACTAGTGACACACTTCTTCCAACAAGGCCATACCTCCAAAGCCTCGCCAAACAAGCACTACTAACTAGGGACCAAGTATGACATGAGCCTCTGGGAGGGGGGCTTTCTCATTCAAGTTAACATACCTAGCTAGGTTATAGACCCTAGAAAGAGAATTCAATACTATTATTCTTCTAAATGGACATAATAATCAACTGCCCCCTAAGTTCTTACCTATAGGTTAGTACATCTCTCAACCTTCATCTGAGAAGCTTCTTCTTCATTTTCACTTTCCTTCCTTCCTTATTCCTTCCTTTCATTTTTTTTTATAGTAGATGGTGATTAATACAGTGACCTACAACTGGTTGACACGCAGAGAATGAGAGGGAGAGAGAGAGAGAGAGAGAGAGAGAGAGACAGAGAGAGAGAGAGAGAGAGGAGTGCTCACTTCTAAATGAGACATCTATATCACTCACCTCCCCAAAGCTATGGGATGATTGTGTAAGAGGGGATGGAAAGAGCGTAAAAGCCAGAAGTAGTGAACATCACTTCAGTAAGTAGTGTTGGCTGGACATGAAAGGACATGTTATAGACTTGCATGAAATTCTCAAGTGATTAAAAAATGTAAGGGACGGAGAAATGGCTTGATAGTTAGGAGCACTTGTTCTTTCAGAGGACGTGGGTTTAGTTTCCAGTATCCTCACGTTGGCTCATAACAACCTGAAACTCCAGTTCCAGGGGATCCGTCACTTTCTTCTGAACTTCCTGGGCTCCGGTCACAGACATGGTACAATACATACATAGAGGCAAAACACCTACACAAGTAAAATAAAGTAAGTCTAGCAAAAAAGCCTGGAGCTTTTCTTACACTGTTTTTTTTTCCACTGTTACAGCCATGAGTATAAATCCTCCAGTAATTGTTGATGTGATAGCTGTCTTCTAGAACACCCCAATATTGACTCTAATATTGGAAATGATGGTGTACTAGTAAAATATATTTTATTTAAAAATGCACCAAATAAGAATTTTACGGGGGCTGGAGAGATAGCTCAATGGTTAAGAGCACTGGCTGCTCTTCCAGAGGTCCTGAGTTCAATTCCCAGCAACCACATGATGACTCACAACCATCTATAATGAGATCTGGCGCCCTCTTCTGGCCTGCAGGCATATATGCATGCAGAACACTGTATACATAATAAATAAATAAATTAAAAAAAAAAAAAAGAATTTCACCAGTGTGTTTTGGGTGCACTCATCCTTGGATGGCTCAGTAATATGTCTTTCAGAGATGAGTTGGCTTCTGAGCAATGTCAACAGTTGCTGGAAAACCACATGCATGTAATTACGTACTTCTGGCTTCCAGTCTTGCACAACTGCTTTTCTCAATGCTGTGTTGCATAATATATTCATAGGGAGACAAACGTAGCTGGGTGTAGGCAGGACTTTAGTCTGAATATTTTTCCATTGATATACGGCAGAAGAACCTTCTGTTTTTCAAAGATCACTAAATTTTAGCTATGGTTCCATTATATTTTCCTAAATGTGTTGTGAGTTTTGCCCTCTTTGCCCAGGCTGTGGGTGCACTGGATACATTTATTGCTGCTGTATATGAGCATGCTGTTATATTGCCAAACAAAACAGAAACACCTGTTTCGGCAGAAGAGGCTTTGCTTCTGATGAGCAAGAACATAGATGTTTTGGAGAAAGCAATCAAGCTGGCAGCCGAGCAGGTATTACTCTTTTGTTCATGTCTGGGATGGTATATAAATTTGTAACTAGACAAGGACATGGATATTTAGAAATTATGAGAAACGTTTTCTTTCCATACTTACTTTGAGCAGGGTGCACATATCATCGTGACCCCAGAAGATGGAATCTATGGTTGGGTCTTCACCAGGGAGACCATTTACCCCTACCTGGAAGATATACCGGACCCTGAAGTGAACTGGATTCCCTGTAGAGACCCTAAGAGGTAAGATCATGCCAAAGGGTAATGACTCTTTCAACAAAGAGGTTCTGATGAGGTAGAATAGCAAAGTCACCATGCTTGACTTGTCATTTTTCAGATGATTAGACAGTCGGTGGCGTTGGACTTTAATGTTTCATAGTGTTCACTACTCAATGTGTCTCCCATCTGGTGAATGACTTCAGATAAGAATGCTTGATTTGTTACTTACCGCAGTTTCTGTTAAAGCCTAGCATATGAACACACTGTTTCCAACAAGTATGTTCAACTGAGCTTCAGCCAAGCGAGAATGTTGTCTCTGGAACCTGTTCTTTCAAGTCCAAGTCAGTCAGTTGACCCAGGAGCACCTGCATCCTTCATGAGAATAGTGAAAAGATCAATGAGCCCATGTTTCTAAAGCTGTGCTGTCACCAGGATTTCACAGTAGTACATGGGGCTTCAGACAGGACGCTCTCTTTCTGAGTCCCCATCTTACTACCTCCCAGCTGAGCGGTACAGGGCACATAGCACACATGCTTGTCATTCTGTCCCTTTCTTTACCTATAAAACAAGGGCAATGAAATCGTATCTCTATTTCCCTTATGGGGGGAGGAGAGTGCCAAATGAAATTGTGTGTGTGAAACCTTAGCCTGCAGCCTCCCCTTGAACGTCTCATGTCGCATGACATCTTGACAGGAGAAACTGACTGGGAACTACTCTGAACTCTTGACCTTAGAGAAATCTTTAGCACTTATTAATAGCTGTGGTTTAGGCACAACTTTCTTGAGAATATGTGTGTGTGTGTGTGTGTGTGTGTGTGTGTGTGTGTGTGTGTGTGTTATGTGTAATTACATACGCTTTTAAAAGAACGATGAAATAGATTATTTTAGGCATAATTATTTACCTTGTAGCATAGTTCACAGGTAATTTAAGTGGAGAAATTTGAAAAGTGCTTTCAGTTGCTAAATTTATATCTGCACGCACCTGCTCAGACTCATATTTATTGCCTACAAGGAGGAGCTTTTTAAATAATTCTTGCCACATGACATCACCTGGAAAATAAGTACAGTACTCCCATACTTGAGCCCTGCTATGTAAATCAAGCCTCAATCTGAGACTTCCGCCTTTGGGAAAGTGTTTTTAAATGTTACCTGGCCTGTGTGTCCAGAAAGCATTGGAATAGTGACTCATTGTCATCTTGTCAAGGGCTTTCCCTAGGTCAGGAAGCAATTGTTACTTGCTGTAATTTTAGAGGCTTATACTGAAATATGCTTCATGGGATAATGCCACTAGAGCTACTCTCCTAGGAGAAGATGCTCATAAATCTGATAGTTAAGCTTATGTGAATTTTGTTGTTGGGATAGTAAATGGCTCATTTTTAACACTAATGATTCTGATAGATATTCAGTTTTGTGAGATAAAAATGGGGAAATCAAGCTGCATCTAGCACTATATCCCAGCACTCGGGAATCTGAGGTGGGAGGAATTGCTTCATGAGGTTAAAGGCATCCTGGGCTACATTGTAAAACTCTATTGAAAGCAAAGCAAAACAACAATAATAAAATGGAACTATTGGGGAGATGGCTCAGTGGATAAAGCACTTACCAATCAAATGTGAGAACTGGATCCCCAGAACCTATGCGAAATCCAGCAGACATGAGGGCCCCCTGTCCACCTGTCGTCCAATACTTGGGAGGCAGTGATGGGGGAATCCCAGGAAACCTTAGCTAGTTACACTAGTAGAGATTGACAAACTGTGTTTGCTGAAGATTCTGTGAGAATGATCAGGGAAGACACACAGCATCGATTTTGGACATCCACCTGGACACCCACACATACGTACATGCACCTTCCCACATGTGTGCACTTACACACAATTGAGCACACATGCACACATACACAAGCATGCACATGTCACTGTTCTACTCGTCTCCTCACAATTACAGAAATCTGTAAGAGGTGTCAGCTACGCATTGTGCTTTTACTGAATTCCGAGAGCTGTATCTGGTGTGCTATGTGTATTCAGTCTTTCACTAATGACAGTAGGTGTCACTATCTGCATATTAACTATGAGAAGAAAGGGAGAGTTAAGACTGCATAATTAGTAATTAGGTTAAGTAGAATTAAAGAAAGCCATTTGCGGGCTGGGGAGTGGGCTCAGCCTATAAAGTGCATGCCAAGATAGTGTGAAAGCCTGAATTTGATCCCCAGAACCTACTTAAAAAACTGGGAACAGTAACACACACTTGAAATTTTGGCAATGGCAAGTTGGGAAGCAGAATCATTCAAATTCCTAGAGTTTGCTGGTCAGTCAGCCTAGCTTTCTTACTTGGTGAAATCCTGGGCCAAAGAGAGAGATACTGTGTGAGAAGAAGCAGGGATGGGGAAAGTGACTGAGGAATGGTGTGGTGATATTGTGTTCCCCAATATATTGTGCACCCTAATAAACTTATCTGGGGTTAGAGAACAGAACAGCCACTAGATATGGAGGCCAGAAAATGGTGGCACACACACCTTTAATACTAGCATTCAGGAGGCAGAAATCCATCTGTATCTCTGCAAGTTCATAGCCACACTGGAAACAGCCAGGCATGATGACACATGCCTTTAATCCCAGGAAGTGATGACAGGAAGCAGAAAGGTATATAAGGCATGAGAACCAGGAACTAGAGCCTGGTTAAACTTTTAGGCTTCTAGCAGCAGTTCAGCTGAGATCCATTTGGATGAGGACTCAGAGGCTTCCGGTTTGAGGAAACAGGATCTGCAGCGAAGTTGGCGAGGTGGGGTAGCTGTGGCTGGTTCTGTTTCTCTGATCTTTCAGCATTCACCCCAATACCTAGCTCCAGGTTTCTTTTTATTACTAAGACCCTTAAGATTCGTGCTATAGAATGGCATCCAGGGTGGTCTTCTGATTCCACAAGCGTACATATGTGCACCCACACCCACAAGTGCACCTACACCCACACACATGAACAAATGCATATATATGTATATATACACACACACACACACATATATATATATATATATATATCTATATATATATATATCACAGCCATTTGCATTAAGCCATGGTAGCTTAATAGATTTGTCAGCATACTACATTATACTGAAAATTATAATGTCTAACATATATTTATTCATGAAAGGTAGTCTGTGAAATCCTCCTCCTTATGACTTTGGCCTCTGATCTGTCTTGTTGAGTACATTTCTATTCCCAGCATATATCCCTCACACGAGAGACATCAAATATTTGAAGCTCTATGTCACCTCACCACATTCCCTTCCTATTTCTAGGATAAACATAAAGACTATTTCATGATGTGTGCTTTTCTCCATGAGAACCTTCTAAGACAGAAAGGAAGCTGATTTGTTGGATGAGAAAATCGAGCCACGCCCATGCACTGTCTATTTGTTTACATCCCCACTGCACAACGCTGCATTTGCTCCCTGTAGAAGATGACCTGCACAGGACCAACCATTTTCTGCCACTTGGTACTTTGTTTTCAACCACGGTTTATAGCCACAAGTTTGTAATATTCTAGCTGGGGTTACAGATGAGGTCCTTCTCATAGAGGGTTTTGCTGCATTTCAAACCCATGCACAGCTTCTCTTCCCCCTCTAAGAAAGAGTATTCTTTTCCCTTCAGTCTTCTCTAGACTTCCCTCCTGGGCCACCTGGAACTTTAGAGGACACTAGTAACCATAAAGACAAACACTATGCTGGCCATAACAACTTTTATTTTTCCTTTGCGATCATGTATATACATGTGGGTAAGTCATCTCTCTGTGTGTGTATGTATATACATGTGGGTATATACATGTCATCTCTGTGTGTGTGTGTGCACATGTGAGCACGCAGTGTGTATTTGGAGGTCAGAGGACAACATTGGATGTAGGTGGTGTGCAGTTACTGTCTACTACTGTTTGAGATAGGGTCTCTCACTGGCCTGGAACTCTGCCGCATAGGGCAGACGAGCTGGCTCCCAAGCTTCCACAGGTCTGTCTGTCTCTGTCTCCCATCTCCCTGTTGCTAAGATTACAGGCGTATGATGCTGTGCCTGGCATTTACACAGGTTCTGGGATCTGAACTCAGGTCCTCACACTTGGAGGTGTTTTCCTGACTAAACCATCTCCCCAGTCTGCATGTGAGTTTTAAATTCTTTTCTCCTGATTCTTGACCTAGAGCTGTTGCATTATAGGAAATGGCAAACTATAGTATCACTTTGATATTTTGATGAATTAGGTTTGGCTACACACCTGTGCAGGAGAGACTCAGCTGCCTTGCCAAAGATAACTCTATCTATGTTGTGGCAAATATTGGGGACAAGAAGCCATGTAATGCTACTGACCCTCAATGTCCTCTGGATGGCCGTTATCAATACAACACCAATGTGGTATTTGATTCTGAGGGTAGGCTAACAGCCCGATACCATAAGGTAAGAATTACCAATGCCTTTGCTAAACTTAGTTTATTTCTGTTGTTTGTGATATATATATATATATATATATATATATATATATATATATTTGTTTTTTTAATACTGGAGATGTAACTGGTACAGAAACACCTCATAATCATTACCATTTCTGCTTGAAAAGACAATTTCATTTATTTGTATACCAATTAAGGATTCTCTGTGTGAGTTAATCATAAAGTAGAATATAGCAAAATGTCAAAATGGATGTGATAATAGACTCACAAAGACTGAATATCTTTTGAGAAAGAAGGGGAAATGTTGCTTCATATTTGAGTTAGTATCAGAGGGTTTGGGGGTATGTAATTTGTCATTCTTTAATACTAAGTTACTATGTATTTCAACATAACTTTTTGACTACTATGCAACAAAAACTCCAACAGAAACTGGTTCTTAAAAAAAAAAAGGAACTATCCTTATTTGTATAACTGAAAAAAAAAAAAAAACTTATCACAGAAAAGGTAGATCTCATTCCAGGAGCAGTCAGTCCATTTCTCAGAGATATGATCCACCCCTCTAGGTCTTACTAACAGCTTTTGCTCAGGATAAATGTCCTTTTAGCAGTCATGTGGCCACAACAGCACAACACAAAATTTTTATCTTTATGAACAAAGTCCACAGAAACATGCATTTCTGTTACGTAGACACTCTGCAATGCAATGGTCTCCTCACTCTTTCATTCCAGCTAGGTCACAGGCCCATCCTGACCCCATCGACTATTCTATGCAGGACGCAGTATCACAGAGGAAGTGGGTGGAGGAGCAACAGAGCCTCAGGAACACGGGCATGTGGGGTAGCTGATGCCAGACTGCACTAACACATGCATCAGACCAAGTGAAGACTCAGCTGAATAAGTGCTCTGCTCCTGAGCAGGAGTTAACTAGTCAGGGTTCAGGAGAGACCATACTAATGGAAGACACATTTGGGTGCCTGACAAGAATAATGATGATGTAACCCTGTCTCAAAAAACCAATAATAATAATAATAATAATAATAATAATAATAATAATTATTATTATTATAATGATGTGACAAATACTGGGAATGAAGAGCTGTGAAACTTCAGTGATCTTCAGTATTCCCCAACACACACCCCTGCCCCCATGGCTGCCATCAATACAATGCTTACAACTTGGAATCAACAATCAGACAGAAAAAAAAAAATAAGATTACTAATAGCTTAGTAAGTATCAAGACTTAGCAGCTCCAAAGTAGAAAATAACTTTAAGTCAACTTCATTTAATTGATATAAAGGCCACAGTAAACGTGATGAAGTTTGTTGTATTCACACATGCTACACCTCGCTTAGGGAGTGCTTCCTGTTCATGTTTAAAGAACACAGTGGAAACAGTTTTAAAATTATGAGACTCAAGAGTTTATCTGGTCTGTGGGCTAAATAGATGGTTCAGCTCAAGAGTACACACTGCTTTTACAGAGGTCCTTAGTTCAATTCCCAGCATCCATCTTGGGTAACCCACAACTGCTTGTCACTTCAGTTCTAGAGGACCTAAAGCCTCTTCTGATCCATTGGTACCCACACTCACATGTACGTGCTTTCACGTAGATACTGCCAAATCATTAAAAATAATGTGAACATTTTTCATTCTGCAGTTTTAAAGGTAGAAGAAATATTGCATCTTAGATGTCATTTGATTTTATTTGTTCACTGATGCTTAAAAATAATGCGTTTTGATTAATGTCACGATGTGGAAACTCACAGATAGATGGTATGATTGGCACGATGTTTGCAAATCTTTGCAAACCATATGCACACCAACACACACGGAAGAAAAGATTTTGTGGGTATTGACCACCTCTATCGGCAAACTCATTCTTTACTAGTTTCTCCCTTCTCTGCTTGTCTTGGACAGTACAATCTTTTCGAACCAGAGATTCAGTTTGATTTCCCCAAAGATTCTGAGTTGGTGACCTTTGACACTCCCTTTGGGAGGTTTGGCATCTTCACTTGCTTTGACATTTTTTCTTACGACCCCGCTGTGGTGACGGTGAAGGACTTTCAAGTTGACAGTGTTCTCTACCCTGCGGCATGGTACAACACTCTGCCTCTCCTTTCAGCCGTCCCATTCCATTCAGCTTGGGCCAGAGCCATGGGAGTCAACCTGCTCGCTGCAAACACCCACAACACCACAATGCACATGACAGGTAACTGGCCAGTCATCCAGCCATCAAGTGACAATGACAGTCTTGGGGAAGGACTCCTCGTTGATTGTTCAAACCAAACTTTTCTTGGATGGCTAACTTCACTACCATAAAATTAATAATACTATGGATTTCTGCTTAAGGTTTGATTAATTTATTTACATGTTTATTGTCTGAAGACAGGAAATCAGTTGTTTTATTTTTGAGACTGGATCTTGCTATACAGCCCAGGCAGGCCTTAAGTTTATGATCCTTCTGCTTCAGCCTCCCGATGGCTGGGATTACAAACATTCGCTGCCATGCCTGGCTAGCAGCATAGGCTTCTGCTTAAGGAGCTTTATTATGGTAAGGAAAGGAAGTCAATAGTATCTCGATCTTCAAGAGGGAAAATTGAAGTTATAAAGAGGTCAAGTCATGTAGGTGGTGGTGGATGGAGAGATGGCGCGGCCAAAAAAGGTTAGGCTTACAACCAAAGTTACTAAAAGAAACAAAAACCAAACAAACAGGTCAATGCTAGACCTAAGGTAAGTCCCAGCCGACCACCTATTAGTAGTACTGAAATAAATCTTGAAATGACAGAATAGCTAAGCTAAATTGGTTTTAGAGTTTACTCTTGGTAGTATCCTCACTAAGAGTAATACTTGACTCCCTCTTGACTGGTTTTCACTATGGCAAATTATGGTAAATTTCAAACCCAAATCCATTAATTAGATCACCAGAGAGCTGAAATTATTCTTCACACTTCAGGGAATTTTTGATTTTCTTGTTAAATTGGTTTAAAGAAGAAACTTTCTGTTTTTTGTTTTCTTCACCACCCCCCCCTCCCACCCCCCACTCCCACCCCCGCAGACAGAGTTTCTCTGTGTAGTTTTGGTGCCTGTCCTGGATCTCACTCTGTAGACTAGGCTGGCCTTGAACTCAGAGATCTGCCTGTCTCTGTCTCCTAGTGCTGGGATTAAAGGCATGTGCCACCACTGCCCGGCAGAGAAACATTTTTTTTAAAAAAGATTTTAAAAAGTAAAATCTTTAAATGATCACTTCAGTACCTTATGCAGAAAGCAGAGTCAGACTGAATTTCCAATAACGTCTTCTAAAAATGCATTGTGCTTTAATAACATTCCGTTTAGTTTCTCACGGGAATGTTCTCTTTGTCACCAGCAAAAGTTTGGAAGCAATACTTGTGTTTCTCTATGTTGGCCACAGGGAGTGGGATCTACAGCCCAGAGGCTGTCGGTGTGTACCACTATGACATGGAGACAGACAGCGGCCAGCTACTGTTATCAGAACTGAAGTCTCGGCCCCGCCAGTCCACCCCCGCTGCAGAAGTAGACTGGAGTGCTTATGCCAGAAGTATCAAGCCATTCTCCTCAGAGCAGGCAGACTTCCCAGGGATGCTTTATTTTGATGAGTTCAGCTTCACCAAGCTTTCTGGAAGCACTGGAAATGTCACAGTTTGCCAAAAGGACCTGTGTTGTTACCTGACTTACAAGATGTCAGAGAAACGAATGGATGAGGCCTATGTGCTGGGTGCCTTTGATGGACTGCACACAGTGGAAGGCCAATACTACTTACAGGTAGAATGCTTGAATGTGTTAGGATGACCGGATGACTATGTTTTAGTCTAAGTCATTGGTTTTTATTACTGTGGTTAAGACCATCAATAAAAGTAACTTAAAGGGGAAAGGACTTAATTGGCTTACTGTGGAGATCACCAAGTCCATCACCGAGGGAAGTCAGGGCAGGAACTCAAGGCAGGAACTGAAACAGAGCCCATGGAGGAATGTTGCTTACTGGCTTGTTCCCTGTGGGCTTGCTCAGCCTTTTTTCTCATACAACCCAAGAGCCCCCGCCCAGGGGTGGCACCACCCATAGTGGGCTGGGCCCTCCCTCGTAAATAATCTTTAGTGGAGAAAATACCCCCTCAGACTTGCCCTACAGACAATCTGATGGAGGCATTTCCTCAATGGAAGTTCCTCTTTCCAGCTGACTCTAGCTGTGTCAAGTTCACAAATAATTAAATATAAAATGATCAGCACAGGTATCATAGCTTTTCCTTCAAAATTGAATTAAATTCAGTTAGTTTGTATCCAGACATATGTAAATATGTAATGTTGTATTTATCAGATTTATTTGCAGCCACCGAACATTTAATTTGTTCTTTTTTTTTTTTTTTTGCCAGAACAAATTCTTTTTCTTGGCTACAAGGTGAAAGGCATAAAGCAGATTGAGGAGTTCTCTGCAGGCAAGTTCAGGTTTAAAAGGCTGCAATGTCTATGCATCCTCTTGTTACTTTAGAGAAATGTTTTGCAGACTATCTTCAACTGGGGTCTAAATTAATTTGTGACCCACTGTAGAATCTGGCTGCATGACTGAGTTAAAGGAAAAATTTAACCAAAGCAAATGACTTAGATAATAATCCAAATTAGAATTATCCAGAGCACTGACCTTTAAAATTCGATCACATTTGCCTTTATTAAAAGTGTAATAATTGCAGGGTGGTGGTGGCAAACATCTTTAATTCCATCACTTGGGAAGCAAAGGCAGGTAAATCTCTGAGTTTGAAGCCAGCCTGGTCGACAGAGTGAGTTCCAGGACAGCCACGGCTACACAGAGAAACCCTGTCTCGAAAAACAAAAACAAAAACAAAAAACCAACCAAACAAAAAAAGAGTAATAATCTTGTCCCACTAAATTTGACAAAAGATTTAACAAGTTGTGACAGTTTAAATGGAAACTCTATTCTTTGAAACTGAATTATGACTATTTTTTTCCTTTCCCCCCCTTTACACAGATATGCACATTGCTGAAGTGTCAAACCACCAACTTGAGAACTTGTGGGGAACCTGTGGGGTCAGCTTTCACCAAGTTTGAAGAATTCTCTCTCAGTGGCACCTTTGGGACGAACTACGTTTTTCCTCAGCTTGTCCTAAGTGGGAGTCAGCTTGCCCTGGAAAGATATTATGAAGTAGGAAGTCTCCAAGTGGACAAATTTCTTTGAGTAGATGAAGTAGAGGAACATAATCATGATCTTTGAAATAAAGGGCTGGGCAGTGGTGGTTCATGCCTTTAATTCCAGCACTCAGGAGGCAGAGGCAGACCAACCTTTGTGAGTTAGGGGCCAGCCTGGTCTACAGAGTGAGTTCTAGGACAGCCAAGGTTACACAGAAAGACCCTGTCTCAAAAAACAAAACAAAACTGAAAAAGAAAAAGAAAGAAAGAAAGGAAGGAAGAGAGAAAGAGAGAGAGGGAGGGAGGGAGGGAGGGAGGGAGGAAGGAAGGAAGGAAGGAAGGAAGGAAGGAAGGAAGGAAGGAAGGAAGGAAGGAAGGGGCAAGGGGCAGTATTGAACTATTGCCCTCTGCAGTCTATGAGAAATACTGTGAAACAGAGCAAGCTGTAGTTGCCGACTGTATTTATCCTGAATTGGCAAGTTGGGGTGAATTGTTCTGTAAAAATGCAAAGGGAATTAGAATACAGATTGCTAATAACCCTTTGTATAATGTAGAAGATTCAAGTTAAGCATAGTTCATTAAATAGCACAAAGCTGGGCCTGGGAGAGCAGCAGCCTGCATTCTAAACTACGTAGGAGACTGAGGTAAAACGGACAGACGTCCAAGGCCTGCAGAGGCTACAAAGTGAGTCGAAGGCCAGTCTGAACTGACAATTTTGTGAGATCTAGTCTCAAAATAAAAATTTAAAAATGTAATCCCAGTACTCTGGAGGCAGAGGCAGGTGGATCACTGTGAGTTTGAGGCCAACCTGGTAGGCACAGCTAGTTTCAGGACAGTCAGGACTACACAGAGAGACCCTGTCTCAAAAAAACCATATATATGTATATACACACATATATATATACACACACAGAGCTATATATGTAAACACACACACACACACACACACACACACACACACACACACACACACACACACACGAGCTGGCTGAAGGGATGGCTCGGCTGTTAACAGCATTTTCTAGTCTTCGAGAGGATCAAGATTGACTCCCAGCATGCACATGACCAGTTACAACTCTGTCAGTAATTCCTTTTCTAGGGACTGATATCCTCTTCTGACCTTCTCAGACATTGCATGCATATGGTGCAAATACATATGTGCAGGCAAAACATTTGTATACATAAAATAAAAATTAAGCTGGAAACATGGCTTAGTGGTTTAGCACTTGTTGCTCTTGCAGAGAACCTGGGTTTAATTCTTAATATCCACATGGTGGCTCATGCTAATCAGTAACTCCAGTTCGAAGGGATCTGTGTTCAACACTCTCTTCTGACCTCCACAGGCACCAAGCATGCACATAGTGAGCAGACGTGCATGCTGGTCAAACACTCACACACAAGACCAATAAGTGTGTTGAAAAAGTAATAGTGTGTTTTAAAGAGGTCAGAATACAGATCACGGGTAGAGGCTTTGTCTAGCATGCACAATACCCTGAGTTCAGTTAGGTTAGGAACACTGCATATGAAGCTTACTTCATGGGAGTGTTGAGAAGTTGTTTTCATGCTAGCAATAGTTGTGTAGTGGTTCATGAGTTTTAAAAGAGATTATTTGCTACATTTTCACCCCATCTCTCTATAATTAGACCAAAGTCAGAAAGCTGGGTCTTCTGCCACCAAATCGTGTGTGCTTTATACCACCCAATGCTGCTCTTGGAAGGATGTTTCTAGAAGGAGATGTTGGTGGAAACTGAGCTTGGTATTGGAGTTAATCCTTTGCTATCTTTCCTCAGGTTTCAAGAGATGGACGTCTCAGAAGCCGAGGTGGAGTCCCTTTGCCTGTCTTAGTGATGGCCCTATATGGAAGAATGTTCGAGAAGGACCCTCCACGCTTAGGGCAGGGACCTAGGAAGTTACAAAGGAACCCCTTCACTGGGGACTGTCAGGATTAGCTTGGCAAAGAGAGGGGGCATAAATGAAAGAGGGGGCAAGCATCTGTAGTATTTGATTAGAAGATACAATGTAAGCTGTTGAAAGGGCAAACCAAATGAAGAAACAAAAGAATAAAATAAAAAGCAATTGGTATGCTATGGCCTGGATATGGTTCGTTCCCTCCAAAATGCACTATCAAATTTAATTTCTATCATGAAGTATTAAGAGAGTGGGCCACTTCATTCAGCCATGGTTTTTAGAAGTGAGCTTTTAGGGAAAGATGAGGATTATCTAAATAACTAGGGTGGAGACCCATGGTTGAATATTGTGGCTTTATAAATGTGAAGGTGTGTGTGTGTCGGGGGGTGTAGCACACAGCAGCACCATTTCCTATCGTGTGATGTCTTACACTACTTTAAGACTCTGTTGCTAAAAAGAGTATTACCAGATGAGGACCCTTGTCTTTGAACTAGAACTGTGAGCCAATATCAGCCTATTTTCTTTATAATGTACCCAATATACAATACTGTGATATTAGCAAATGAAAACAGGCTACCATAGATCGGGTATGCACATACTTGGGATAGCATAAATGTGTTAGTTGGAGTGGCATCCAGCTTTCATGAATATGTCCAGATATATGTAAATATGTAATGTAGAATGTGTATTTAAGGGAGAGCAGGGCTTCTTTCGCAGGAACTGCTCTGTTGAATCCAAACAATGATTCCATCAGGTGAAGGTCACTTTCATGGATTAACTCAATTAGACATGGTTGCTCAGTTGGCTGATTAAACATTTCTGAGTATGTGATGCGGGAATTTCTGATAGATTACAATTGGTGGGCTGACCCTGGGTGAGGAAAGGCCCAGGCAAGCAGGCATGGAGAACAGGAGAGACACACACTAATGGACCAAAGGCTACAAGCTCTGTGAAGCTGGTTTAGGGTTCAAAATGCCCGAGAACGCCATCTTTGGTCTCTGGGAACCGATCTCACCAGCTGAGAATAAACCTGGAGATTGATGGTCTGAGCCCAAGGCTGGCAGATGGATCAAATTCTGGAGCTATCTGTTAGTTACTTACTACTCTAGAGGCCGAGGATGCTGAAATTCCAAGAGCATGCATTATACTCACAGCTCTGTCCTCCCACCTGGTTCATTAGCACTCAGAAGGTCTTGAAAGTACGAAGGCAGATTTCTGCCTGAACTGATGGTAGTGTTACAGTTGCTTCCCACTCTCCCAGCACCCTTGGGCGGCGCCCCTAAATAAAACAATCATTCTGGGGTCGGGGCTCTGCTCTGGAGACTAAGACAGTCTTCTTACTCCATAGACTGCAAAACCAAATGTGGCCAGCAGAGGCCCCTGATGCGCAAAGAGTAAAGCAGCTGCCAGGCAAAAGGATCCTAGCAGACATTAGACCATACAGACCCTGCAGCAGCGTAAACCAAAGGAAAAACAAGAATCCACATGTTCAGTGGAACCTGCCCTGCCTCTGTGCCTGTGACTGGCATCTCCAACTTTCCGTAGATGACAAAGCTGCGTCATCACCTCATCTTCTCATGTGTTTCATTTTTACTTTCTACATGGTTACTAGATTGCCGATTTTTAAAATGTTTTCATGTTTTTGTTATTTTCCTTCATACAATCATCTAATTTTGTCTATGTGTTTTTCTACTATTGGGCAATATATTTTCTTTGCCTCAGCTTTAGCTATCTTTTTTTTTTTTTTTTTTTTTTTTTTTTTTTTTTTTTTTTGGTGTGTCCTTCCGTCTCCTATCCCTACATTTAATATTATCTCGGTTTTATTTTATTGGTTTCTTAAAAGAGACTCTCATAGCTGGGCATGATGGCTGTCTTAGGATTTCTATTGCTGTGAAGAGAGACCATGACCATGGCAACTCTTATAAAGGAAAACATTTCCTTGGGGCTGGCTTACAGTTCAGAGGTTTAGTCCATTGTCATCATAGTGGGAAGCATGGTGGCATGCAGGCAGACATGGTCCTGCAGAGTAGCTGAGAGTTCCACATCTGGATATCTGGACCCGCAGGCAGCAGGAAGAAGAGACAGTGAGCCACTAGGCCTGGCTTGAGCTTCTGAGACTTCAAAGCCCACCCCTGTTACACACTTCCTCCAACAATGCCACACCTACTCCAACCGTGTGACACCTCCTAATAGTGCCACTCTGTGAGTCTACGGGTGCCATCCATTTTCATTCAAACCACCACAGTGGTGTATATCTTTAACGCCAGCACTATCAAGGTAGAGCTGGGTAGATCTCTGAGTTTGAGGTTAGCCTGGCCTATATAGAAAGTTCTAGGCCAGACAAGGCTACATAGTGAGATTTGTCTCAACAAATAAAGAAGGCACTAGTGATAACTATTCTTGGCTGTTAAATTGATTACATCTGGAATTAACTAAAACACAAATGACTGGTTATACCTGTGAAGGATTTTCATTTTTCTTAATTAAATCATTTGAAGTGGGAAGACCCACTTTTAATCTGGATCTTTGAGGTAGGAAAAATCCACATTTAATTCAGATCTTTTGAAATGAGAAGATCCACCCTTAATCTGGACCACACCTTCTGTGTGAAGCCTATATAAAAGGTGGAAGAAGGAAGCTTTCTCTTTTTGCCTGTTTGCTCCCACTCTGGCTAGCAAGTTCATTCCTTCACTGTCATTAAAGCCTAACTCTTTGGGATTCCAGGGATTTCAGCATATACTGAAGACCAGCTGAGACATCTAGCCTCATGGACTGAACAACTACTGGATTCTTGAAACTTCTGTTGGTAGACAGTCATTGTTGGACTAGCTGGACCACAGCCTGTAAACTATTCTAATAAATGCCCCCTCTCTCTTTCTCTTTCTGTCTTTGTACACACACACACACACACACACACACACACACACACACACACACACACGAAGGGTTATGTGCATGGTGTGGGTACATATGGAGAAGCCAGAGAATGACATTGGGTGTCCTGCTCTGTCACTCTCCACCTTGTTCACTTGAGACATGGTCTCTCATTGATCCTGAAGCCAGGCTAGATATCTGCAAGCCCCAGAGATCCTTGTCTCTTCTTTCTCCAAGGTTGGGGCTACAGAAGTGTGTGATGGTATTGTGTTCCCCAAAATATTGTGCACCCTAATAAACTTATCTGGGGTCAGAGACAGAACAGCCACTAGATACAAACGCTAGAAAATGGTGGCACTCACGCCTTTAATCCTAGGACTCCAGAGGTAGAAATCCCTCTGGATCTCTGTGAGTTCAAGGCCACATTGGAAACAGCCAGGCATGGTGACTCACGCCTTTAATCCCAGAAAGCGAGCCTTTAATCCCAGGGAGTGATGGCAGAAAGCAGAAAGATATATAAGGCATGAAGACCAGAAACTAGAAGCATTTTGCCTGGTTAAGCTTTTAGGCTTTGGAGCAGCATAGTTCAGCTGAGAGGCATCCAGTCTGAGGAAACAAGACCAGCTGAGAAGCTGGCCAGGTGAGGGTAGCTGTGGCTTGTTCTGGTTCTCTGATCTTCCAGCTTCACCCCAATACCTGGCTCTGGGTTTGTTTTATTAATAAAGACTCTTTAAGATTCATGCTACAGAAGTACATATGATCATCCTTGGCTTTCACCTGTGTGAAAGTTTGCATGTAATTGGCTCCCATAATCTCATAGGGAATGGCACTATTAGGAGGTGCAGGCTTTGTTGAAGTGGGTACGGCCTTGTTGGAGGAAATGTGTCACTGTGGGGGCAGGGTTTGAGGTTTTCTGTGCTCAGGATACTGCCCAGTATCAGTCGACTTCCTGTTGCCTGTAAGATATACTCTCAGCTACTTCTCCAACACTATGTCTGCCTGCATGCTGTCATGCTCCTGGCCATGATGATAATGGACTGAATCTCTAAAACTGTAAGCCCCTCCAATTAAATGTTTTCCTTGTAAGAGTTATTGTAGTCATGGTGTTTCTTCACAGCAATAGTAACCCTTACTAAGACAGCCTGGGTTCTGGAACTTCAAACTGAAGTCCACATAATAAACTGGATGTGGTTTTGTGTGCTCCTGCAAACCCAGCATGGTGGAGGCTTCAGACCAGAGGAATTTAGGGGCTTGCCTATTAGTCTTGCCTAAAATCTGGAACTCCAAGTTCAAGGAGAGATCCTGCCTCATAGGAATAAGGCAAAGAGTGATTAAGAAGAACATTAGACCCTGCTCCTCTGCCTCTGCAAGCATGTGTGTACATACATACATACATACATACATACATACATACCATATGCATGCGTACACACATACACACAAATTCATGAATAGGAGGAGCTGAGAGGTACCACCACTAAAGGCATAGAGAATGTAGTTAATAAATTATGGTAGAAACTTCCTTAATCTAAGACATTCAGATACAAGAAACATTTAGGATCCCAAATAGAAGTGGCTAGAGAAGAACATTTCTATGACATGTCAAGGCAACAAAACTGTTAGAAACTGTAAGAGAGAAATACTCCAACTCACTTTCAAGACTTCCAAAATGTCAGAATAACATAGGATCTTTCATTAGTAACTCTTAAAGCCAGAAAAGCATGGGCTGATGTGTTTCAAGTTCTGGAAGTAAATAACTGCCAACCAATATCCAGCAAATCCTAAAATTGATAGAAAGGACTTTCATAATGAGCACAAACTAAGGTAGATCATGATCAGCAAGCAAGAACTATAAACCACTTAAAGGAATACGGATCACAGGAAGAATAACTTAAGTCTCACTTAACGAAAGCATGGAAGGAATACATTTCAGAACAGTAGACGAAGAAAAAGAAATCTAGGGAAAAGTCTACCATGTTCAACACACTAAACCATCAAACCTAGAATATTAATGAGGGAAAGTAAACAACAACCAACCAACAAAATTACAAGAGCTAGTAATTGTCTTTCTATGATAACCTTTTAAATGCTTCAGCACACCAAGGAGGAGACACAAGATGTTTCTTTTTGTAGTAGATGACAATGAATACAGAGATCCACAAATGGC